GGCCTGCGGGGCCTGCGGGGCCTGCGGGGCCTGCGGGGCCTGCGGGGCCTGCGGGGCCTGTGGGGCCTGCGGGGTCTGTGGTGTGCACAAACAGAGACGATTATGGTTTAAAAGATACGAAGGTGACTGGGGGTGCCAAGCAGGGCTGTGAGGACAAGTTTCAAAATAAAGATTTGATCCCATGGTACATGAAAGAATGAAAACATAACCTTTATTTTATAGGGAAACCCCTCCCCCCATTACACACACACTCACACACACACACACACACACACACACACACATATACATACTTCATAAACTTCTAAGGTTCCTGGGGAACCCCCACCCGCACCCCAAGCTTCCTTTGCCCAACGGTGAGGGAGGCTGATTGAAATACCTTTCTTTTCTTTGGAAAACACTCATTAAGCATTCTATTCTCCACTCCTTCCCAGCCCCTGACTTTAGCCCAATGCTAGAACCCATGGAGTGATGGCTGTGATGCCATTCAGCATGCTCCCTTCCCAAGCTTCCTGTGGGAACAGAGCCTCTCCCCAGCTGACAGACCCAGAGGAAAGCCACCCTGGCCCGAGCCCGCCTCTTTACAGTGGATATACTAGACATACTACCTGCAGACCTTTACGGCTACCTCTGCCTGCGCCCACATATTGATCCCCATGGAGGAGGACTGGGAGATAGTCTCTAAAACTCTAAGACGGTCCTCCCTACTGCCAATGGCTACTTTTCCTCATAAAATAATCCATGGGAAATCCTCGCAACGTCATGCTTGGCTTCACTTTTAAATATCTTTTTCCAGCGGCCCCTTCAATGACAAGCTCCTTTCTCTCTCCCTGCCCTCTGTGAGCTGTGCGGGTGAGGAACTAGGGCAGCTCTGCCTTCTGGAAAGGGGGGTGGGGAGGGTTAGGAAGGAAAAGGGCAGCAGAGACTCAAGTCAAGCAGGGCTTCTGACTTTTCCCCCTTTCATTACTTATGTGTGTCCACTGAGCTGTCCTGCTTCTGTTTTGTAATGGGTTCTTCCGTGGCAAGCTGACCTTTTGGCTGAATAGGTCAAACTCCCACTGAGCACTAATCCTCAGCCTTCCTGGCTTTTGTGCCTCCCCAAGGGTGACAGCCCTGGTCAGGAGTATGACTGGGGGTGTGGGGTCTGTTTCCCAAAAGGGGGATTGGTTGTCTTTCACCGACTGAATTAATTCTCAGAGCCTGCCTCACAAGGTTTGCAGAAGAGCCCAGTCCTAACTATGCAGAAGAGTCTAGATTAGAAAGTTTGGGCCACAATTGTTGTGGGACAAAACTGACTTCTCACATGCATGTTGAGGTGTGGTTTCCTTCCATGGCTTCCGCTTTTCCCATGGGAGAAAGGCCACGGTTCAGAGTCACCAGGTCATTTGAGATTTCTGAGATAACTGCGATTCTGTAGTTGATTTTTAAGAATCTTTTCTTTTATAAATCTCTTCTATTTAAAATATTCCAAGCCTCTAGGTGTTTTCTTTTTAACCTCTGCAAAACATGAAATAACAATGCTGTGGTATTTGTTGGTAATAATATGCTGGGCCCAGGTTTCTTGTAAGTTGCTTAAATTTTTCTTTTGGGCTATTTTTTTTTTTTTCCTTTTAACAGTTTGTATAAGGTGTTCAACTTCTGACACTCACATCTCCCTACCAGGAGGTAGAGACATAATCTTCACAGACAAGCGGTTGCATATTCCATTTACTTAGCAGTGCCTTGTGTATGTCCTTTTTGGTTAATTTAGTTTGTGTTCTTTATATTTCAAAAAGTAGTATTTTTTAATTGGACAAACAAATGAACTGTAGCATTCGGTCAGATGAAAGAGTAATAATAAATGTGCATTCAGCAATAATAATGGTACATTCTGTTTGGACTAGCAAATGGTTTCAGTATCTGCAGACTTCCCAAATCCAAGGACCTGCGAGAGCTTCAGAGGCAATGGATTACTTTTCTGAGGATGATGGGCCTACGGAGGAAATGCCTCTCTAGCTTTGTTGCTTCATTGGTGGTACTATAGAGCCACAATGATATTAACTTGGGGAAACAAAAATATCAATAGCTTTACTTTCATTCTTTCTGAGTTATCAGGTTATTGTTTTGATCTCAAAAAGCCAAATGCAATAGGATAAAAAGTACAAGATGAGAAGTACATTTTTAATGTCTATTCAGTCACCAATAACGCTGGAGTCAGACCTGGTCTTCCAGCAGGGGCATAATGGGCTCCTGTTTAACATATTTATGTCGGTTGTAAAATTAGGAACTGTCATTACAGCCCCACATCACCTGCATAAGTGCAAAACATATAAATCAGGAGAAATTCCAGTACCATAAAAATGCCATTGACTAGAATAGCATGAAACCATTTGTAAGATACCTGTGCCTCAAGCTGGCGTGTACTGGGATGCACACTCACATTTCGAGAGGATTTGAAAGACAAAGAGGAGTAACTATGCTGGAAGGACTCATGGATGGAAGACCTGATGAAGACGTTGGGGATCCCCAGGTTGACTGCATTTTCTTAAACAAAACCCCTAAATATTTATGTGTTTGCAGTATTGACTTAAGGAGCAGCCCGAGTTCTAGGTGGGGAAAAGGAAGGAAAAGACAAGCCTTTAGTGGGCAGGTGTGCATAACCTGCAGCACCACTGAAGGCAGCTGTGCTTCAGGAGTGAGCGCAGCTGCCCTCTGTCCCTACTGGGACATGCCTCTTGGGCTTCTAGGGAGTATGCACACTCCGTATGCTGTGATGTGTTAGTGTCTTCTGTTGTGACTATTGCTCTCCTGGCTGCCTCTTAAACCATTTCTTTGTAGAAAAGTCTGTCTCTAAAAGCAGCCCATTTTCTTTTGTGGGGTTCAATGGTTTATTCTGAATTTTGTAATTGGAAGTCCTGAAATGCCCTTAAATTATGAACTATTAATATGGAGCTTTTGGGATCCCAATTACTGTTCAAAAACAGAGTGGACACTTTTGAAGTTTATAACTCCCCCCTCTCTCCCTGGTATTCCCTCCCCCCAGAATCTTTAAAAAGAGAAAAGACTGCAGATTTTATTCATGTGGGATCATTCACACCAAGCTACCATAATGTGCAATTAACACTCTAGAAACTGAAAACAGTATTCAGCAAGACAGCTGCATTATCAAAGATGCCAAAGGAGTTTTGAAGGGAGTAATGTGCGTGTTAGAATAGGAAATTAATCAGACACACACACACACACACACACACACACACACACACACACACAGGGAGAGAGAGAGAGAGAGAGAGAGAGAGAGAGAGAGAGAGAGAGAGAGAGAGAGAGAGAGAGAGAGAGAGAGAGAGAGAGAGAAGTATATTAAGTATATCTGAATATTTAAAATTTTAAAATATTGTGTCTGTGTCAGTATATACTAATAAAAATTAACCTTAGGATAGGAACCTGATTTTTCTGTTTTAAGATTATTAGTTGTGTGTTTTCCTGAAGCAAATGAGGAAGTCGAAATAGAGATCTCTAAGATCCCTGCCAGCTGGAGTATTCTCAGATAATAATCACTCTTCAATTATATTTTATAAATTTTTCCATTGAAACAAAATGCCTCTTTTATTTCTTCTTGCCAGTAATACTGATACTTAACACTCATGCAGTTTTCAAAGTGTCTTTCAGACACTGACTCACACTTGCAGGGGTAAACTGCCTACATTTGCACAGCACGATAATCACAAGTACATTTATATTATAATCCCTACTAAGCCATGGATGCAACCGACTGACTTAGTAACTGAGATGAAGCACAATTATCCCAGGAGCATTTTGCTGAATATTTCCTGTAACTATGGAAGTGGGTTTTAGAAGAAAGTGTGTGTGGGGGGGGGGGGGGAGGGAGTATTGTATTTTCAATTTATAGTGTCTAAGTTTGAGGAAGCAGAGGTTTATAGTAACATTTTCAAGTAAAGAGGCAAGACATGGGGAATTTACTTGTTGGAAATAAGAAAAAGATCAGAATTTTTTTTATGAATTACTATAGACCACAAAGACTTTTATGTTTGAAAACTTACAAAAGATAAGAATCCCCAGAACAGACTTAGAAGCAAATTGTGAGCCCATACAAAAAATTGTGTGCCCATACAAAAAAATATGTATAGAGAAAACCCTCAATTGTGGATCCCACAAATATCTGGCAGCAAGCTCACCTCTGTTAAAGATAGGGGGCTCCGTGAGTGCAGGGACCTGTGGGGTGCCAGGAAGAGCAGGACTATCAGTGTGAGTGGGGAACAGGAGTGTGCCCAGGAGAGCACAGTCTCTGCACTAGTGAGGCACAGGCTGGGTGCGAGGCCACTGTGCTTCTCCAAGATCCTGCAAGAATAGTCACAGGCGACTGTTCTGTAAACAGAAAGATCCAGCCACCACGAGACACTTCACACTAGTGTAAACAGTCATTAATGAGAGTCTCTTCTCCAACATGTTGTACTTATTAAATTATGATAAAGTTGTTGCATTAGAACATTAAACAAAACAAAACAAAACAAAACAAAAAAAAAAAACACCTGCTTGCTTTGTGTGTTTTTTCTAGCCTAGAGAATATGAAAACTTTTAAGTTTTCGGTTTTATCTGGGGCAATAGGCAGTATGTGTGGACTTTAAAAATACCTAAATTTTAAAGGGGAAAAAAAGCACTAATTTATCTTAATTGAATGTGAGCATTCATGTTTTTGCTTCAATATAAGGAAAGCAGTCCAAGATATTTTTTTTTTAAATCTGGGTATGGTTTGTTGTTATCTGACTTGGAAATACAACCACTGCTTATGCTCACACAACTCAGGGCCAAGTTAACACTGGGCTGTGTTTCTTTGAGTAGTCATTGTTATAGTAATTAGTGATGTAATTAAAGAAAATTAAGTTAAAGGTATGAATCTGAGCTCCAACTTAATTATTTTCTTTCTTTTCTTCCTTCCTGTTTCTTTTTCGTTTTCCCCCTTTTTCTTTTTTTCTTTTTTTCTTTCCTTTTTTTTCTCTAAGTTATAGGTGCACAACGAAGGAGAAGCCCCAGTGCACTGGCCATTGAAGTATTTGAAGCCCATTTGGGAAGTCACATTTTGCAGGTACCTCTAAGAGCAAAAGAAGCTTGCTTATCTCTTACTAAGAAAATTCCATGGGTTTGGTCTTCTATTAATTTTTTTTTTTTAATTTCAACTATTGTCTGTGGCTGGGTGTTGGAATTCTGAAATTCTTATGAGTCCTTTTTTTTTCTTTTTAGAAAGCCATCCTTTGAGAGAATAATTATGAGAGAGAGAGGGCAAGTATTATTTGTAATAATTGAGATGAAATGTGCTGTTAGGTTGATGCTCAATGTATAGTAGCTGGCTGTTCCCAGAATGATAGTGTGTGTGCTGCATTTGTAAGTGGATATATGTGTGTGTCTTTGGAGCTATATATTGTCTTAGGCAGATCAAACTTTAGTGAAAGCAATGTGACATTTGTATGTGTTGCCAAATTTCAGTTGTTCTTTGCTTGAGTTTGCATTCATAAGTGCTTCAAATCTTAATGTCTGTCTCTCCCCCCAATTAATTTTATCAGAGTGAAATCTTAAAGCATAGTTTTAGTGAAAGGAGACAGTAATAATAACTAACTTTTAGTAATGAACTTCATGACAGATAAATGTGAGGGTGACTAGATGGACCTGCAGTTAGATATTTGTCTGAGAGCAGCTTCATGCCCAACTCAGAATCTCAACTGAAAACTTTTTTCCCAAGACTTTGCCATCGCTTCAGCACATCCATGAGTAATTGCTCTGCACTGTTTCTGCCTCCAAGGTTGATGTTGCCATAGCCAAAGCTTTCTTTAACTACATAAGATATGTTTTAAACATGAAATTAGAGAAACAAACACGTTTAGGATATTTAGGCAACTTATTGGCGAGGGGGACGAGGGGTGGTTATGGGTCTATTTTTTTTTTTTTTTTTTTTTTTTTTTTAGTTAAAAAAGAAAAGTAAACTCCAAATTCCTATTCAGTCAGAGTTAAAAACATGACTTCTGTGGTGATTTTATTTTTCTAGACAGCCAAAAGTAGTGTTGCATTTAGCATGAGTCCTGAAAACAAGTTCTCTAGAAAACTATCTCCACCAGATTCTCCATGGTTGAATCTTAGTAGGTCTACGAAGTGGTTCTTTGGCCAGTAGCCTCAGCATCACCTGAGACACATGTTTAAAGGACACGTTCCTAGGCCTCCCTCTGAACATGCCAAATCAGAATCTTCAGGGTGAAGCCCAGTGATTTGTGATTTTTAACAAGCTTTAGAGAAAATGTGATGTTTTATTAGTACTGAGATGTCAGTTTACATTTCCAAACTTAAGGACCTAAAAAGACTTACTTCGCTTGTTTATTTTTGTTTATTCTGATGTTTCTCATTTACCCACTAGTATATCTTAAAATCCATGTAACAGATGTTTCTTAAAATACACCTTAGGAGATGCTGTTCTCTCATGCATATAAATTTTGCATTGCCTTTGCAGTATATTGGTTTCAGGGCTATAGAAAGGAATTTGCTTTCCAGATCTTCGGATTTTTCTCTCTTTCCTATACAGACTTTGTTCAGAATTTTCTTTATAAGAATTATATAAGCCATGATATAATATACATGTATTATAATGTGATTCAGGAAGACTTCTATTTATATCCTGAAATGATCAGTGCATTGACTTAGTCCACAAAAGAAATGGTTCAAAGCTCCAGATTATTACCCTCTGAATTCTCTCTAGAATTTGGGTCCAAGGTCCTCAAAAGAGGTTGACTTAGGAGCTGCAAGAATTTAAAACAAAAACTTATTGAACATTAGCTTAAGATAAATGTGTGGTACAGAATGACTCCAAAAGCTATTCAACAATGAGCTTCATTGAGAGAGTAGAAGGTCTGGAATGAGGCTGCTGAGCTCTTCTGCTTTTACCTTGGTCACATTTGATGCAGACAACCCATTTTAAGACAAACATCAGCAGCCAGATGTTATTTACAGTGAAATAACCTGACTAGTTAGTAAACTAGAAATCATGTTACATGAGGAGTGGCAAAGGGTATGGTGAGGTTTAATTTGGAAAACACTTATCTTAAATGGAACATTAACATCCTCTGTATTGGAAAGTCTCCTTTGAAACAGAAATGTATATATTCTGTGTGGCTTCAGAGTATGGAAAAGAGAAGTGGGCAAAAACTGAAGAAAGAAAAAATCATCTTCATTAAAAAAGACTTGCAAATAGTGTCCACATGTGGAATATGTTCAAAGCCTTTGAATTTAAAAAATTAGGTGGCTTGATAGGGATGCTTTCACAACAGTGAGGCCTCCAAGCATGATTGCACTAGGGCAGGGGTCGGCAAACTCATTAGTCAACAGAGCCAAATATCAACAGTACAACAATTGAAATTTGAGAGCCAACTTTTTAAAACTTAAACTTCTTCTAACACCACTTCTTCAAAATAGACTAGCCCAGGTCTTGGTATTTTGTGGAAGAGCCACACTCAAGGGGCCAAAGAGCTGCATGTGGCTTGCGAGCTACAGTTTGCCGACCACTGCGCTAGATGATCCTGTAAGGGTAATATGGTTTCCATATTTTCCTTCTGGGGGGATCCATGTTTGAGTCTGGTTGAATCAAGGGAAAAGAGATGTATCCTTTCTTCCCTTTATGCTGTCCTTCCTTCTTTTATAAATATCAGATAAAAACCTATGTGGTCAACATGGTTTCTAACCTCACAGTCTACCATCATTATCAAAATATATCAAATACTTGGTAAGAATACAGAATTCACAGCAGTAGGCACATGATTGCTGTGCTCAACTAGCTTGCAACCATTTGGGAAAAGATGAGCCAGTAGGCCTCCTAAAGTGAGAGCATCACACTGGTCAAGCACTAAGAGGCTACACAGCTGGGAGGCTGAGTTTGCCACAAACCAGCAAAGAAGACTTCTCAAAGTTAGGTAGAGAACATTGAATAAGATTCCAATCAAATAAGATTCTGAACACAAAGGCATGGGGACAAGAAGCTGTAGATCTTGTTTGGAAACTGTTAAGGTGTTTACATTGATGGCTGCTTCACATGCACAGGGAGGAACGCACATAAGAGCTAAAGATGGAGAAGCTATCTGGGCCATATTATGGCAGGCCTAGTGAGCCAAGCCAGGATGCTCTACCCATTGATGAGCTTATGAAGAAAGCTTTTGTACAAGAGATAAGGATTTGGTTTATTTCCAGAGTTGTCAAAATATGGTATCTAGAGAGTCTTTGAGTTGTGAGAGGCTAAAATAGAAACCATTTAGGAAATTATTACAGCAGTCCAAGATTCCAAATGAAGATTTTTCTCCAAGATATGGTGTCTCTGAATGGAGAGTCAGGTATGGAATTGAGATTGAATTATTAGATGTGAAAGGCTAGGGGATGACAGGAATTAATAATGACCACAGGTTTTCTAGATTGGTAACCAGCTGTCTGTACCCTTATCTGAGAGGTGTTAAATGGGATATTCTCTTAAATAGCCACTTGATAAATGTAAGCAATTGGAAACCTAGTCTGATTCTCTAGAACAAGATAAAGTCTAGGACTGAAAATAGGCCTGGGGATTACTAATCACTATCATAGGGATGAATGAGAGTTCAAATCAAGCAGTGAATTGTGGAACCATGGAAATAATGTGGAGCATTGAGAGAAGACGGTTGAGAAGAGGCAACTCCAGTGAATATCACTTAAGATGCAAGTAGAATATGAGGAAAGAGTAGACAGAAAGGTAAGAGGAAACCATGGGGTTTTACCTTGCTTAAGGAAAGAGCATTAATAATGTCAAGGTAGGTAAGGCTAAATCCTTTAGTAAGATACATACTGAAGATGTCATAGGTTTTGTTCATTGAAATAGTTATAATGAGGTTGATAGGTGCAGAAGATAAACCTAAAGAGTGATAATACATACAGGTGTCTGGAACTTGTGGTAAAAGAAGGGTGGAAGATAAGAAAGCAGTGTGAAGGGAAATTTTTGTTTTTAATGTTGTTAGACGGTATGTCTGAGGTTCATGGAATCAATCATTGCCAATTGTATGCTCTTTAACAATCGGCTTTTCAAAAATCAATATCTTGTGGTTATGTCTATATTAAGAAAGGATTAGCTTTCATTATTATTAATGGTTATATACTATTCCATTCCATAATTTATTTAACCACTTTTCTACCATTAAATATTTTGACCATATGTATAAATTTGCATTCCTTTCTTGTGTGTGTTTATTTAAATTATATTTTTATTAAATTTATTGGGGTGACATTGGTTAATAAGATCATCTAGATTTCAAGAATAAATTTGCATTTCTTATGCAAATATCTAGTGAGGGTGAGTTTGTATGTGTGCATGTGTGTGTGTGTGTGTGTGTTGTGTGCTTGTGGGTAGGTGTGTTTCAATTAGAAAGAGCCTATTTTGGGTTGATTTTAGTTTAAATCTTTAATTTCTAGTATGTGTGATATTCTATATATTGTTAAGTTCTCCTCTGATATCATTAAATAATAATAAGTACTTATGATATAGGTGTTATGATTGTACACATCCTAAAACTGAATAAACTAAGAAAATTTAAGTAACCAACTCAAGCTCACAAGGTTGGTTAAGTGAGAATCCAGTTTGAATATAGGATACTAAATACTAGATTATAATACTTCCCACGAATGATGGGGACATTTTTAAAGGCAATGGTAATAAAAGGAAATAATTTCTGTTTGGAGTGAACAGAATTAGGGAATCTGGAAGGTAGAGTGGAGGTCAGTTCTGAATACCAGGGTTGGACTCTGGGAAATGTCTGTGGCTTCTCTGTACCAAGTGCCAAGCTGTCCTGATGCCTGTGCCCCCAGTGATGCGTCATGGAAGAGCATGTTAAGGACCCCTTGCAAGCATGTCAAACTATGGGGCCACGAGTTTCACATTCTTGGTAGAAAGTTGGGGGAGGCAATTGAAGCTGAACCCCTTCATTTTTGGTACCCATTTTGTGGACTGCAATGTGGTTTTGTAATGCATATCAGATTAGCTATATATTCTCTTGGGACAATTTAGCTAGTTTACTGGATCCTCAAAAATTGGAT